TCACGCTCATAATGTCTTTACTGGAATTCCAGTAAATTAGTTAAACATGAGCAACCCTTCACGAACACATGCTGTATCTGCCCAATGGGATAATTTTTATCTAGATGTCATGGTATTTCTTCCTTGATGATAGATTCAAGCATTTTCCTCACTACAGAAGTAAGCCAACCAGCCTATAATTCCCTCTCTTTTGTCTACCTCCATCTTTAAACAGTGGCATCACATTTGCTGTTTTCCAATCTGCTGGAACAGCCCCAGAGACCAGCAAATTTTGGAAGATTACCACGAGCATATTTGCTATTTCTCCTGCCATTTTGTTTAGTACCCTGGGATGCATTCCATCAGGGCTAGGAGACTTGTCTACCTTTAGCTCCATTAGATTACCCTACACTAGCTCTTTCATGATAATGATTGTTTCTGGGTCCTCACCTACTCGTTGTATCAATTACTGGCATGTTTTTCGTGTCCTCCACTGTGAAGATGGAAACAAAATACCTGTTCAATGTCTCGGCTATTTCCCCATTTTTCATTATTAAATCCCCCTTCTCATCCTCTAAAGGACTAATGTTTACCTTAGCCACTCTTTTTCTATATATTTGTAGAAACTTTTACTATCTGTCTTTATATTCTGAGCTAGTTTACTCTTATAAACTATCTTACTTTTCTTTATAGCTCTTTTTTGTAGCTTTATGTTGCCCTTTAAAGTTTTCCCAATCTTTTAGTTTCCCACTGGTCTTTGCCACTTTGTATGCCTTATCTTTCAATTTGATAGCCTCCCTTATTTCCTTAGGCATCCATGGCTGGTATTACAGGGAGATGGCTAGGACACAGATTGAATGGCTTTCTTCTTCGGCACAACCTTCTAGATTTCTACGGATGTGACAGATCAAGGGCCAGATAGAGATAATATGAATGACCAAAATGCGCAAGACACTGGTCTGTACATGTAATAGCTAATTACCAAGAATAGGAACTTGGGTGGCATATACTCAAGAGGGATCTGATGAACAGGAGGATGCAACAGCTGTGGGATGCACAGGAAAACTAGTGCTAAATTCAATTTTTGTTTGAATTTGTGGAATGATGGTCAAGAGAGATCCCCAGACTAGAATAATGGGACAGAAGAGCTGGAAGTAAAAAAGTGCACTTCAAGACACGGAGTCCTTTACATCGGTAGACTATGTACAAGATGAAGAAACTCAGATAGTGAAAAACGGAGATCTCACAGTTGTTGTCCTGTCAGGTATAAAAGTGAAAGCAAAATGTGCAGTTTAAACAGATTAAACAATGGCTGCAGAAAAGTCAGATTAGCAGAACTAGATGAGGTACCCATGAAGTAGTTTTGGTGGTTGTCATAAATTTAAGGAAAGTAACAAGGAGAGCAAAATAAAATTATATATTTGGAGGAAGGTTACAGTTTATTTTCAGGTATGAAATAATGGTCAATTAGCTTTATTGCATAGATGAATTTGTTTTAGAAAAGCATTTGCAGGTCGGACTGTGTGGGTCAATCAAAATTAAAAAACTGTATTTCCGTTGGACAACACTTATCAAAGAGAAGTACCCAAAGCCATTTAAAGATGCAGCAATTGCAGAAGGATGATAACGGAAACTTAAAAAAAAAATGGGTTTCATAGAGATTGCGTTCAACAAAAAGTGGGTTCCACATTATTTTATTAGTATCATAAAGGAAACTCTTCAGGTACTTTCATTACATACGCTGTTATTTCTTACAGGAGTAGGGGATTACTACAGAATTAAAAGAAATGTGTACCTTATTAATCCGATTGGAATAGATTTTAAAATTTTCAGCCAGGCTTGTGGGCTTTTTAAATACATTGGTTTAGATACTAAGCAGATAAAACTTTAAGTTAACAATTCCAACTGAATAAATCATAATGGGCATTCAGAGGGAGCATGTTTTCTAAAGAAGAGGCAGAGTAGTTCCAAACCTTAATTGGTCTTTTGATCCGATAGCGAACTTAGAGAAGACGCTGGTTTTGAGATATTGCAGTTGGACATTATAAAGAAAAATCGTTAAGTGCAAAATGTTTTACAGGCAAATAACATGAAAAAAAAAATCCAAATCAAGAAACTCAAGGATTCTCAGACAGCACATTCCAAACCCATGACTACTTCCATCTAGAAGGACAAGAGCAGCAGACATAGGAACACCACCACCTTCAAGTTCCCTTCCAAGCCACTCACATCCTGACTTGGAAATATATTGCCGTTCCTTCACTATCGCTGGGTCAAAATCCTAGAATTCCCTCCCTAATGACATTGTGGGTCAACCAACAGCAGGTGGACTGCAGCAGTTTAAGGAGGCAGCTCACCACCACCTTCTCAAGGGCAAATGGGGATGGGCAATAAGTGCTGTCCAGTCAGCGACGCCCACATTTCACAAAATGAATAAATGAAGTTAAGTGCATCCTTGAGTACCCCTTAGGTAACCCGAACATGATGCTAGTAATTATTGACAATGCATCTCATGCCAGTCTTCCTGATGGATAATCTTGTGCAATTGTTTCTTTTCTTGGCATCTCATATGGTCAAAAATGTGAAATGCTGTCCTGCTGTTCTCAAAGCTGTTTTATTTTCAGAAGTACTCTATTTGCCATACAACCATTCTTGTGGAGGCAGAGAATAGCAGATTCTATTTGTTAAATATTTGAAGAGAGATTCTGCATAATGAACATACTGAAGAATGTATATCTACTAGATGTTATGTTGTTGATCACTTTACAGATTGGTAGTGCGGGGGAAGGGGGGGGCGGGAAACAAAGTTCTGCAATGTAATACATTTTATAGAATGTGGAAGTTATTTATTTTAAAACTTTGTGCGCATCAACCAAGAAGTTAAGTTTTTTTAAACAGAGAAGGGAATTCTGTTAAATGCATTGTAATCAAAAATTCAATTGAATTCAGTAATGGGCATTAACTGATAATTCATTTGTGCTTCTAGACATAGGAGCATACTGACACTATGGTAGCTAGATTTAGAAGCACAATTGTATTGTGTTTCTTTGTAAATAAATGCTTAGAAAGTCTGCAGAGACTGGGCTCCATTTTTATCCTAATGGAAACTCTCCTGGAATCTGGCATTCTAGCATAGAATAGGTTGACCCCAAGGTTAGTGTTATTGGAAACAATTCTACCGCTGCCAGTGACGTAGATCTGATACTTCAGTATCTTGTATACTTTTAGAAAGATGTCCAATTTAATGTCTTTTCAAGAAGGAAGCAAAATGAATTTTTTGAACTTGACTTCATTCGCCCCTGTGCTGAGGTCAATAGAGTGGCTCATTTTTGCCTCCAGGGGTGGGAACTGTTTTACCTTAATTACCTTAATCTTAAATCACATTTCTTTAATCATCAAAATAAACCTACTCTCCGATCGGGGCGGGTGGGGGGAGTGGTCAGTTTGCTCAGTTGGTAAGATGATTACAAGATAACTCTCAACAAACCAGTCACTTGCAGCTGATGATAATTAATAGACACCCAATAGCAAAACTCCCAACACTGGAATGCAATGTTTTTACTCTGCATACCACTGTCCTATTGTTAGCATCATTAGGTACTGCACAAAACTACAACCTTTATAATGGGTATTGGTTTTATACTAAAACAATTGGTGGTTATTCTACCCCAACTAGTTTAAACTAACACCAGTGTGTATTTGCAAATAGAGGTGAGCATACCCAGACAATGCAAAAGGAACATATTTTTGCAATACAACGATGATGATCAGATGCCCAATGCTTTTATATTTAGGTAAAAGGACTGGCTCCTTCACAAGAGAAGAGAACACACATAACTACATTAAGAATGGAACCATATGTTAACAAAAAGGACAAAAATATGAAGCGAATCTACATCATAATTTGTTTGCATTAGTTAAAACAATTGCGTCATTCAGTAATTGAATAAGTCAGAGAGGTAAAACAAAGGAGTTTCAATCTGTACTCAAGACTTCTACAACTATCATCCACGTATTTCATGAATTTTTCTTAAGTTAAAAGTGGGGTTTGTCATATAATTGAATGGCATGAGAACTATGTAGGTGAGAAATGTTGACTAATCACTTTAATTTGTAAATAATTAATATGAAGGCCAACAGAATAAAAGAGATGAGATAACTCAGCAAGCCTTGACTTTATAAGCCAAAATAAGCTGAGAACTGAGCTTGCGTAGACTTGGGGGTAGAATTCTAAAGATTCACCACCCTCTGATTGAAATGATTCTTCCTAATCCCTCAGTTCTAAATTGTGGCAGCATGGTGGCTTAGTAGTTAGTATTACTGCCTCACAGCACCAGGGACTTGGGTACAATTTCACCCTCAGGTGACTGTCTATGTGGGGTTTGTACATTCTCATGTTTGCGTGGGTTTCCTCCGGGTGCTCTGGTTTCCTCCCACAGTCCAAAGATGTACAGGTTAGATGGATTGGCCATGCTAAATTGCCCATAGTGTCCAGGGATGTGTAGGCTAGGTGAATTGGTGTGGACTCGATGGGCTGAATGATTTGAATGTATTGCACACTTTGCATGCAGAATGTTAGATATCAGAAGAACAGGTAGCCTTCCCCATTCTCTAAATCACTTTCAAACTACATTCTCTCAGAAACCAGATTATAGACAGTGCAGGATCATGCAAAATTGGTCTGCCAGTCTCACTTGTTTACTACCAGCCAGCAGTTGCTAGCAAGCACATGAGAACACTTGAACACAACATGTATGGGTCTGTCATAGGCATGCGCCCTGAACACCAATACTGCTTACAGGAGCCTTCACCAATAAGACAGGCAGCACAGTTCTGACAAAATGTACGTACACAGCTTGCTATACTGCATCATAATTAAAAGCAGAAGAGTGCCACCAAATTTCAAAAGTGCAAATAATGAATACAAAAACAGCTTAACTTAGGGAAAACAAAGTTTATTTGGGATAGTAATTCTTTGGAAGATATATTTAATGATGAAATAAACATGGGTGAAATTTTACCTGTTTTTCTTTGAATGTTCATCTTTTCCTCTTTTGACTCCAAATATCCTGGTAATCAATGCACTAAACAACAAAGTAGAAGAATTTCGCACCTGGTAATCAAAAGCAAGGAGAGAATGTTATGGACTGCATGAAACCTTCCTTGTCCACTTTTTTTTAAAAATTTGTTTCTGCACTTCTACTGTACACATTTTAAACTTGATTAAATTTAAAGAACAGAAACAAATGAATCCTACAGGAATCCAAAAGTGATATACATTATGGAGCAATCTGAGACATTCCAAGATCCAAAGGCCTGTGTGGCAAAAATATTCCTCAAGAAAATTAGACTCAAGTTGCTTGAGAATGCAAGTATATAGCCAATTAAAGGCGATTCATAAGATGTCATTAGTTTTATCGACAATCTTTGCCAAATTAGGGATGTCTGTGCTGTGTGTCCCTGCTTTTTAGGAATTGGACTGACTATGCAAAATGATTTCATGCAGAGCTGGCAGAGGTGACACTGGATTTAACTTCAGGGTTGAAATGGCTGAGTGTGACCTGCTACTTCTGTCCCCATGCTATAAAAAAATCCACTTATTCTAAATTTGAGACTCTGTTATCTGTACTGTTGATTCTGGCTGCACCTTTTATTTAATATTAGTTAAATAAACAACAAGGTGCAGTTCAATTTACTGGAACTAAAATTGTAGACTTAATCCTGCCTCAGATCTGAGAAGTCAGTTCCAAGTCAGTGAATAAATGCAATCAAAAATAAACCTACATTCAGGAACATTAAAAAGTATACTAAATAATAGTGGTTAAATATCTCACAGTTTGAGTCTTTATACTCAGTAAATGCAATATAATGCCATCTTTGTGCAGCAAAGACACGTGAACTATACAAAAACCACAACTAACGTGCCATTTTTCCTTAACCCAATAATTAAAGACTGGAATAAACAGGACTTTTTTTCCTTTGGTAAACAAATTAAGGAAGGATTACATCCACAACCAAGATGTCTTTTGGAGACTTTTAAATTATACTTCGTGTTTTGGCAACTAGGGTTATTTATTTTAGAGCAAGTTTGTTTGATTTGGTTGGTTATGCAGAGCCATTTCTGCAAATATCGTACTCCACAAAAAGTCAGCCAGACTTTTTAAAAGCCATTTCTTGCCCCACAATTTAAATTTGTTTCAGTTAAGAAATCTTTTGAGCTTTACACAGGATCTTGCAAATTTTCCATCAGACTTCAGTGAGTCAATGAGATACAAATTCTTTCAACCACACTTAATCCTTCACATTAAAATCAATATTATTTGATATGAATATTGTCAATTCTGTTTTCCACGCAGGTCAAAAAAAATTGTATAAACAAACTGGATGCAGAAGAGAAAGCATGCACACTGGCAACACTAAAACAGTACAAAGGCTCAATTTAACCAACAATTTAGAAGACAAGTACTGGAGATCTGAAATTAAAACAAAGTATTTGATCAACTCAGCAGGTCTTACAGTACCTTTGTCGAAAGAAACAAAACAAAGCTAACACTTTTGGTTCAGTAGGAGTACTTCAGAGCTCCAAGAAGGCCTATCAAATTTGGAACATTAACTTTGTTTCTCCAGAACTTTGATTTTAACCAACTATCTTCCTGGGTTGCCACCTGAGTAGTTTGATCAATTAAAAATGCAATCTGTAATAAGGTAAATTTATTTACCATCACAACAAGCCATTCAAAATCTAAGAACATCCACAGTCAAATCTAATAACAATGGGTGGCCTGGTGAAATAATAAATAGAACGTTGAACTTGTACACCAGCACTTCAGTTAATCTCTATTTTGGTATCTTCAACGATTCTATACCCAAATGTATAGTTGCTGAAATAGGAATTATTTGGGGTTATGATATAAAGCTCTAAAATTCTGAGTTAGATAGTCCTGCTGTGTCGTTCCCGGGAAACTAAACGTGTTAGTGTTACACACGTAACGTTTCAATTTTAATATTATCACATGAACCCTCCCAAGAATTGTGTAAACAATATAAAAATGCATTTAGCAATAATTCATTCACATTAAGATTGGAATGTCTGTAACATGAGTCCACATGAACTGTGTATAGCTCATCAATTTGAATCAGGGCAAAGGACTGACTCATCTGTTGAGCAGAACAGCATTTTAACTGAACAGCGATGGACATCGACATTATACCTTGAAAACAAGAGCAAGATAAAATAACATTCTTAGAACTCAGGAGACTACACACTTTACATTAAGTGCTTTGTGTGTATTTTGGTTTCACTTGTCTTTTTCTTTTGGTTTTGGTCATATTGATTCCAGAAAAAAACATCTAAATTACCAGATTTCCAAAGAATGTTAAAAGGTTATGACTTACTGCCCACACAGGAGACGTAAAGCCGAGGATGGCTGCTTGTATTCCTTCTGCCACATATGGAATGATATTTTCACCTAATTTAGTGTCTCTAAACAGAGCTCTCAAGATATTTAAAGAATGCACCTGACAAAACAAAAAATGTCCATAAGGAATTGTGAAGAACAGCATTAAGTACATTTTATTTTCTGCATCCCCTCTCCCCCACCCAAAAACGCAGCTTAAAACTGAATTTGTTTCACGAAACATGCAAGACATTTCATAGCGGAGAACTGGACACCAAGCAGTAGGAGAAGAGATGACCAAAAGTGTACACAAATAATTAGGCTTTGAGGGAAGTTCTGTAAGTAAAAGTAGCAGAGATTTGAGAAAGAAGAATTAAGGGAAATAACAAGAACTGCAGATGCCGAAGTCAAAGTCGATACAGTGTGGAGCTGGAGGAACACAGCAGGTCAGGCAGCATCAGAGGAGTAGAAAAGTCGATGTTTTGGGTTTACACCCTTCATCAGGACTGAGAAGGGGGAAGGGAGCTCAGAAATAAAGAGAGGGAGGGGGGTGGGGCCAGGGGAAGGTAGGTGGGATGGTGATTGGTGGATGCAGATGGGGTTTTGTAGAGATAGGTCATGGAAATGGTGGGGCAGATAGGTAAGAAAGATGAACAGGTTGTGTCAGGTCAAGGAGGCAGGGATGAGAGGGAGGGTTGGACATGGGCAGAGACCAGGAGGTGGGATATTTTTAAACTGGTGAATTCTATGTTGCTGTAAGCTCCTGAAGCAGGATATGAGGCGTTGTTCCTCCAGTTTACGTGGAAACTGGTGACTTCTATGTTGAGGCCATCGGGCTCATTAACAGGGACATGTGGAAGAGCTTTTTGACCCAGACATCAGTGAGTGACTGGAATTCTGTGCCCAGTTTAGTGGTTGAGACCACCAAACCTACAGACCAAGTTTTGGAAAGTGCGATTAGAATGAGTGGCCGGTTTATTCATAGACGTGATGGGTTGAAGGATCTCTTTGTGCTGTAACTTTTGTATGGTTTTAAGGTAGTTAAACAAAGGGGTTTAGGGCAGAAGCTCTAAAACATAATGCCCAAAAAAGGAAATTCTGGCTTGTCAGCAACTTGATGATCAGGTAAGCAAACTGAAGTTGGAGGGAACAAAGAGTTTTTGCAGGGGCAAATGATAATTAACATTTTGAAGGATAAAAGGAATGGTGTCATAACTAAGGGAGCCATTAACATTGTCAGTGAATAATAAAACAGAGAAAGAATCAAAAGATTCCTGTAAATACTGTAAACATGGCATACTACTGGTAGAGAGGGTGGATGAGGTGCCTTTCAAGCACATCCCTTGGTACCTGATAGAATCAAACTTTGTGAATGCAGTTGTATTTGCACCAGTCCAGACAAATGAAGAATATTCCATCACATTCCTGATGTTCATTTTTAGGTAAAGACATCAGGGAGATAAGGTACTTGCCACTTACTACTCAAATTCTGATTTTATACAATAGTCATATATGTAATTTGTCCATACGAATTTCTGGGCAATGGTGACTTCCAGGATGTTAATGGTAGGGGACTTGATAGCGGTATTGCAATTAAATGTCATAGGGAAGTGGTCAGGATTTTCCTTTGTGAAAACAGTCACTGCTTGGCAATTGTATGAACCAATGATATCACTATTCATCAGCTCAAGTTTGGATGCAGTGTCTGATTGCTTCATATCTGAGAAATTGTCAATAGGCCTGACTATATGAATTATAGGTGAACAACTCAATCATGGCCTAACGATGGAGGAAAGAGCATTGATGAAACAGCTGAAAATACATGAATTTCACAAGCTATCCTAAAAAGCATCTACAGCAATATCATGGGCTGAGGTGACCGCATGTCTCTGCATCAGATATGGAGTGGAAACTGGAGAGCTTTCACCCAATTCCCAACTACTTAAGTTTTATTAGGCTGTTCATTGCTACCCTCCGTTGGATGTTAAAGCCTGTGTTATTTGACCTCTGGAATTTAACTCATTCCATGTCTAGAGAAAGGACATAATTTGTCAGGTGAAGTGGTGCAACTCAAAATGTTAATTGCTGTGCAGGTTTCTGACTTGCAAGTGTCACCTGACAACGCCATCAATAACCTCTTCTGTCACTGTTGATAATTGGGACTATGCAGATTGGCTGGTAGTTAGATAGGACAGATATTCGAAATTTTCTATACTGTCAGACTTTTACCTTCTCTGGAAGAACTTCCACACAGCCTGGCTAGTTCTGGAGGATGGGGATTCAACTCATTATCTGGATACTGTCAGTGTCCATAGATTTGCTCATCCAAAGTGCACAGAGCTCATGATGAATGAATTGGTTTGGTTTTAATATGTGATCTATGATTGTGAGGCCTCTGAGAGACAGAGTGCCAGGAGGATCATCCTCTCATACAAAGTTGAAGACATTTAGATGGGCTATTGTTTTGTCTTTGTACCCCCTGGAACATTACTATGACTAACAACATAAATATTCATTGAATTGCTTTACCTCTAATTGCTAAATTGCCAAAGTTATTCACAATTGGATGCAACAGCTTCTCAGTTTTAACCTGATCCAAGGATTGTGGGGTTACCGAGATCTGTCTATATCTTGCGGTTTTCATTCAATTCACTAAGTGGTATCAAAAAGGACTGAAATGCAGTCTGGGCAATTACCACTCCAGCAGCCTCCACCCGATTAGCAAAGTGATGGAAGATATCATTAACAGTGCTATCAAGAAGCACTTTACACAGCAATAACTTGCTCACTAATACTCAGTTTGTGCTCTCCACGTGAACTCAGCTCCTGATCTCATTAAAGCCTTCATCTAAACATGGACAAATGATTGAACTCCAGAATTGAGCAGGGAGTGACTGCCCTTGACATCAGGGCAGAATATGATCAAGTCTGAGACCAAGCAGCCCTGGAATAAATTGAAGTCAATGGAATCAGTAGGAAACATCTCCACTGGTTGAAGCCAAACCTTAGCTTTAGTGGTAGTTAGGTAATATTGAAGGCTCGAGCCTCCACTCGTACCACATGAGTACTGGAAATAACCATATCAGAAAAGAGAGATAGAGAATATAACTACAACGTTCTTGGGAAGAAACAGTAAATTACATTCAGAAACAGATCAGCATGTACAGTTAAGTATGGATTCTTTTCACCATCTTCTGGATTTTAAATTGTCAAAATGCATAATGCAACTTTCAACACACTTCTTTCCCTCCCTTCTTAGTAAATAAGAGAAATAGCATATATCAATGGTTTCTTTCCAGAAGTGTAAGAAACTTGAGCATAACTTGAACGTTCAACTTTCCCAACAATGATATTATGCATGCAAATTTTTATAACAACATATCAATGCACTCTTGTATACAATGATATAAAAGACGTGTTCACCAAATGAAAAAGTTCACCGTGTTATATAATGACCCAAGTATAGCGGATGTTGTCTCTCATTAGTAAGACATTGTCCGATAGTATTAGATGTGGTCTTATTCAACTCTTGTTCTCCAGCTTAGATGTCAATATCTAAATCACATTCAACACTTCTGAATATTGTTTCCAGTGTTTTGAAGAATGATCTGTTTTGCAAGATGATCTGCAAACTGCCAAGAGTCCAAGACTTAACCTGCATCTGGCTCATGGATTCTCAACTGTTGGAACAAGCAGCAGTCCCAAAAGTGGCCATCTATCCCACTGATACTGCTTAGCTCAGAGAGTTGTCAGCTAATCAGGTTGGAAACCAAAACTCTTGAAAACCAAAACTTCTTTTCCAGATGGCAGAACATCCACCTCCTGCCAATTAATCTGTTTTTCTAGAAACAGCCATTAAATTTTGTATCATTATTTCTTCTGACATGCATTTTTAGGCTGTTCTATACTCTAGAATTTAACAAATTGGGAGTTAAGAATACAATGATAATGTTAATTCGTGTTACCAAACAGTGAAGTGATTACAATATTGTAGCTATCTATCAATTTTGGGCAATAGTCTGCACTGATGATAACAGAATTCTCTCCACAATTTCAAGAGGTGTTTTCAAGTCTCAATTATTTATGTTTTGAGACCAGGTGTTATATTAAAGACATTAACACAGAGCACGTAGGCTGTAATTTAATCTCTGTTTAATTGACACCATATGCCATTCAAGTTTGGCTTCAATGGTAGCCTTGTTACTTAATTCTTTATTTAGCTTCTTATCCTTCCATTTATATAAAGCACGATGGCCAAAGTGATGCTGTGCTCAGTTTCTCAACTTATGCCTTGGAGCATAGAACATTAAACAGAATTACAGAACAAGTCCATTTTCAAACAAAATAAAGCTTCTTTCCTCAACTTAGTCTATGGATTTTAAAACAAAAACTGGTTTTAAATGTCAGTTACAAAGCACTAAACATAACATCTTCTTGACCACACACTTGCTTTCAATCAAGCTTTATTGATTTTCTGAATAATCTTATTCAGCAAGGTTCAATTATATAATTTAGCAAAGTTACTAAACTTCACAGAAAGGACATACATCAGCTGAGCAATGGCATGTTATGCCAACTTCTTCAGTAATTAGCAATTAACTTGTGTATTTTAATTCAATTCTGTCACTCAGCATGTTTCCAGAATCTTTGTTACTAATGTTAATTCTTCAAGCAAAAAGCAATGAAAAAGGCAAATAGATAAATTAAAAACATGGAGATCATAATACCGTCACGCAAAAAAAACTCGATAGACATCTTCCAAAATATCTGTAATGATGCTTAAAGTCTAACACAAAGTTAAATCACCTGAAATATATTCTCAACACCTAATCTTAACATTGATCCAAATCTCTTTGCAGTCTTGGACAAAAGAGCTGTAGACCAGAAGACAATGACTTCCCTTTATATCAAGGGAGCTTTAGATGGAATATGTCATCAAGCAGCCAGAGTAAAACTGAAGTCACTAATAATCAGGAATTTCAGGGCTTACTGCGTTAGCACACTGGAAATCAAGCCTCATTATTCCAAGAATCGTAATAAACGTTTAATTAAGATTTAATCAAGCTATCCAAAGAGCCAAACTACCTGACCAACTAGCTCAGGTTAGAAGAAAACACTCATCTGGTTTCTGTACTTAACAAGAAATAACTGTATATTACAAATAAATTATCCTTAAGCAATGGCAATTAGGAAACATTAAATTGCCAACAAACTTAAATTCGACCCCATTTTTAAACATCCCTCTTCATAAACAAGTAGACACACAGAGACCAACAAAATGGATACTAGGGTGAAAAAGGGGAAAACAAAAAATCAGGGAATTGAGTTCCAGGGATTTAATCAAAATATGTCTTCACATTTCTTTCTGTTCATTGCCATTGACACAGATTGTCTGCACACCAATGCTCTCTTTCATTCCCTGGTTGAAAATTCACATTTCACCATCTTTGAAAGTATTTTAGTCTCCCTTCAATAGGGGAGTAGGCTCAAAGAGCCAAGCGGCCTGCTCTTGTTCATATACGCAGAGAAAGGTGAGTAGAAGTTACTTGGTATGCCCACATAGGACAGAGGGCAGGAGGAGACTGACAGAGAGAGAAGAGAGAGAGAGATTTTTCATGCTCCCTTTGCAGGCTTCATGGCTCTTTGTTGCATTCAGCACAAACAAGCCATGGTCATGTGGTCACTAGGAGACAATCAAACTGCTGCTGTCAAGCAGTTGTCCCGTAGTTCAGGGCATGTCACCTTCACGTTGTCTGCCGTTTCTCCCTGTTCCACGAAAATTGCAACTTTGGGCATTGTATACAAAGTGCTCCAATAAACATGATATTTTAAAATTATAGCCATGTTCTTGCAGTCTCCTTATTTAAGTCAGCATCTTCCATTTTAGTCTAGAATCCAAATATAATGAAAATAAAACTATATGGTTCTAAACGGACAAAAGGTTCCCCACATCCTGATTCATATGTAGCATAAAGCAAGATGGCTGTCGGTATTGGAGCACTATCATCTCAGCCCCAGGATACCACTGCAGAAGTTCCTCAGGCCTAACTGCCCTCAGCAAGTACTGGAACTAGATTTAAAGAACTGCCAGCCTTCAGCTGGTTGCAACCTCATTCCTTATAAGGGAAAGGAGCCCCATCCATAGGCAGATGATTGCCAGCCACACACAATATCAGCCAAGAGCTTCCGAAATCAGATCATCACCGTACCTTAAACTTCTAGGCTATGTTTTTGATTCCAAAGTCTAATTCAGCAATGTAAAAATTGTGAACAGTGGTCCCAGCATTGATTCTTATGGGACGCGACTGCCCACACTGAATAGCTATCTTTTGTCCTTATGCTCTTTTTATTGTCTTGCAAACAGCTAGATATTCAATCTGCTCTTTGTCCCCTGACTCTGATACCTTAACTTTTTTCATTAGTCTATTATGTGATATCTTATCAAAGTCCTAGATATCCTACATCTACCAAATTCGTTTTATCTTCGAAGAATTCAATGAGGTTAGTTAAGCAAGTTCTAATTTTGAAATTCATTATGACTTAATATTATAATTTTTTTGGATTCTAGATATTTTTTCATGTTTCAATTATCTTTACTATTATCAATAGTAAGCTGACTGTTCTATAGTACCCAGAACAGGTTTATCTCCAAGAAGTAAGGATACCAGTCTTCAGACAGTACATTTTTCTTTTAGCAAAGTATTAACTATGTCTAATATTCGCTGTGTAATCACTTCCATATGTTCTTTTAAAACACACAAATGCAATCCAGTGAAACCGCTTTTGCTTTTAATACTCAGTTAATGTAACATTTCTCCTCATTTGATTTTCAATAGAGTCATAGAGTTGTACAATATGGCAGCAGACTCTTTCAGTCCAACTCATCCAAGCCAACCAGATATCCTAAATTAATCTTGTCCCGTTTGCCAGCATTTGGCACTTGGGAATTAATGGTGACTTAAGAATTTAATGGGACTTGCAAGGCTCTCTGGTGATTCCTGAAAGCAACCCAGTCACACATTACGATTGCTTCTGGCCTCATAAGGGAGTCCATCATTCACAAGCATTTAATTTCTAATCAAAGGACCCAGCATTGGGAAGCGTGGTGCCATTGAAAGCTACATTGTGTCCTTGCATCTGATCCCCTTACTCTTTCATCCTCACCAGTGAACCACCTCTCCCCGCAAAGGTACCCACCCTGCTCCATTTACCACAATCGAGTGACAATTCATGGTTAAGACCTCAGTAAATGATTAGCAACTGACATTGCCCTCAGGAGCATGGCTTGTCTCTGACTGGCAGCTCTCCAAAGATGGGATTTCAACTAAACCTGTGGGGAATATCGTGTGAAACCCAATGTAGTCCATTTAGTGTCTGAATGCAGTCAAACAGTATTGAGCCTCCTCGACAGAAGCAATGCAAGGGTCCTGCCAGTTTTCCATTCAGTAGATTGCGGGTGGGGAGATTCCAACATAAAAACTAAATTCACTGATTATGGAACACACTGTCTAGGAATACAGTACTGATGAAATTCTTATTTTGTGGTATGAATTTATGGAGGAGCCAGCACTCAGCAAAAGTAGTGACATCAAGGGTTTAGGCAGCTCCAATAGCTTGCTACACTTGACTGTTCCAAAATATTATATAAATTCAATACTGTCTAGAAACAAGAGTGGGGGCTTGTTACAAAGTTTTCAGCAGGTCACTTAAAACAGTTCATGGTTACTGAAGAAAACTTTCAAGCTCACAGAGAAGATAATAGACAGAAATTGAAGTAAGTTCCATGTAGAAAAGAACTGCTTAGCTGTATTGTTGAAAATATAACGGAGTGACATGGAGTTGTGTAGTTGGACACTCAACGAGAAGCAACAGCAGTTGGATGGCTGTGTTCTTATGACTCGAAAAAGTTGTAGGAGCTAAGTGCTTGCAGTCAGAGTTCCAGGTAAGTTCTGGGAGCAGTGAAGACTCAGAAGAAGCCATGTGCCACTAAAACTGCAGCTTAACTGAGAATGAGGGTGAAGGAAACCCACATTTGCTTTGAGCAATTGAATCCGATTAGAATTCAGGAAACCAACTGAGGGCTTGCGAAGCTCACTGTTTGAGAGAAGTTGGAGTTTGCTTGTGAATAAGTGCTGGATAGCAGTTTCCAAGGATCTAGGACAGCATAGTCCCAGAAAAGGAGCAATTGTCATGCAGTCTGTGGTGCAGCCAAATTTGAAGGAGTTTCCAGGCCAGATCATGAAAAGTGAAGCATCATAATCTCATGTAAAGTTTTACTAAGTGTTTGTGACCAACAGTCTGGTGGTGGTGGTGGTGGTGGTGATTGTCTAGAAATCCTTAGTATCTCTATTAATGCAACTGCTGTTTGATGTGCTCAGTGGTGGTATTTGAGCATTAAACTGTTATCTATATTTACTTCGTTAATTTTAGAATGTTTGAATATAATTCACAACAAAGTTTGCACAGTCTAAACTTTTTCTATTTATAAATTGGCCATTTTGCCAACCTGGTTAAATCCAAAACTTTTTGTAACCAGTGGAGGAGTGAGCCTACGGAAGAATCAGTGCATCCATAGTACAAGTAAATAACATTAGCAAATTTCAAAAGGAAGTTGGGGTATAATTTTGACAAGAAAACACCAGCAAGGAATACATGAAATACAATCTGAAATATCAAAACCATCTCCACACCACAAGGAAAAGCAATTACTTTAGTTCTTATCAATGCCAGGGAATGGCAACAACTATACTGGAATAAGAAAAAAATTGAATTTGTAATTCAGCTTCTGTTACATTCAGAAACAGACTTGCATTAATTACTCATTAACAAGGACATTTCAAAAAACATTCCTAAGAGGCTCCTCTATTAAAATATGATTTAACATGTACAAACTACAAATTTGTGTCTCTTTGCTACCTGTGGAATGGTGGCATTCTCATCTTGGCAAATCGATGATGGTATGGCGAGCGAAATCAGTTCCTTCATTGTCAGTTTCAGAAGACTCATATTGGACCCCCTAGGTTCTGAAGACACCAAGGCCTGCAGAGGGAGAAAAATAAAATGTACAATTTTTAAAGACATCTTCTATCTTTAAACACCTGAATGGGATGCCTTATCTTTAAATTATATCTGAATTAACTAGATTTGCTTTCTGATTGCTATTTTCTTTCATTCTGCGCACAGATTTATCAGCCCTTCTTAAAACAGCATTAAGTTGCAAACTTGTTTACACTTAATAAAGTAAGAGGTATTTTATGGATCAGCACAAATTCTTGTCTTAACACAGCATAGCATTAATAAGAGGCATCCCGAGAGGAGCAGCTTCCCACCTTGCTTTACTGACAACTGTGCCAAAGCAGAAAATATAAAGAAAATATAACTATTAAGGCTGTTGGTCTATTGCTATATACATTTTCTTAACATGTTATGTAAAATTACACTGTCCAAGTGAATTTTTAAAAACATTAAGCTAAAGTATTGTTTCATAATTTTAAAAAACTCAGATCTATTCATCTCCAATGATAAGGTCATGGAATCCAACAGTTTCATAGAAATCAACAGAGCATCAGTCTTAACCAACAAACCCAAGCCTTCCCATACCTGAATGTAAAACGGAATGCCAGCACTACGTCGGGTGGCACACAGTTTGGATGTAGGGATACTGGACTTAACTTCATGTAGAACTTCTTCTAACCACTGCTGCGGTAATTTCTGCAGATCACTATTTTTACAACTAGAAATAGGGAAAAAAAAGGCAATAAATTTAACTTTCAGTTGTAGTTGCTATTGTTCTTCCAAACTTTGGAAGTCAGCTTTACATTCAATCTGCAATCTGCGGCTTCAATCTGCAAAACAAGCAGGTGCAGCTAACTTTATTAGGGCTTTTATGTAAATAGGTTGTTCAATAGGCCTGGTAATGTGCTCTGGGCACCTCTAGATAAACCTGATTGAGTATGAAATACAGTACTGTGATTTAAGGTGTACAATATATTAAACTTTTCTTTAAAGAGATCAGAAAGTCATTTGTAACAGCAACCTAAATACATAACTTCCAAAGCATTTTGAGATTCTGTTAACTGTCTGGCAGGACACCTGTATTGTTAATTAATCAAATTTTTATTTTCTTGAATTTACAATAGATAGAGAAAAGAAAACAAGGGACCTCTAGCCTAGTTTTGACGTCAGTTCAGGAGAACCATTTCCTCAGAGTAGAAGAATCAGGTTTTCAGTTCAGCATAACTGTCTCCCAAGTTCAAACGTTTTAGTTTGATGTCTCTAAACAGGGAGAGGTTGCATATAAGTTTTCAATTGTTGAGAACTGAGAAGGGATTTAGGCCCTCATAGCTGGAAGTAAGTTGTAAAAGTATCTCAACAGTCCATGGAAGAGAACTGGAAAGAGTCAGTTAAGTAAGAAATTAAAGAATTAAGAGGAGTGATATCTCTCTGGAATCAAATGTCTGTAAAAAGAAATTATGGGAAACAGAATGAATCTTTGTTTTGATGTTAGTTTAAAAAATGTTAACAGTCATTAAAGCATTTTTTTTTATGCGTTGTGTAATAAGCTTGCGTTTTTCTGTTAACATTGGCAACCTCTCATGAACATGTTCAGTTGACTATCCACCAGGGTAACCACTGCAAACATTAAACTTATGAACTATCAAGCCAGGTTTCACTCTGATCCGACTTGTCCAGTATTACCATAAAAGAGCACAAGAATGCAATTCGTGCTTAAAATAAAGATCAATTTCTGCCCACTTATTTAGAAGTTTAGACATCTCAAAACATAGAAATTTGATTTCTCTATACCTAAGCCAAATCTGTTCATAAACACTACTGTCAAGACAAAAAAAGTCTATTATTAACATTCAATACATTAAACTCGTCTTTTTACTAACTTGTATATTTCCATTGTTTTGTTTCTATTCTATCAACTTTGACTTGCCAAAGGTAGAAATGATTCAGTGCATCATATGTCAAGAGAATCCTTTGACTTGTTATGACCAAGTGAGGAGAGATGGAATGGCTTTCCATATTTTCCTTTATTATTTGACTGAACAGGTATATTTAGAATTTTAAAGGATGCCACTGCCAACCAAATGCATGAACTTTAATGTTTCCATGAAGGCTGTAAAGGATTAGCCAGACAGGATTTTCAAGTTTTAACAAAGTAAAAAGTCGAGTTTAAGTTCTTAAACGAACCCAAGAAAAAATATTAAATGGTTATCATCAGTACCAAAATGCAATACATGCACACAGAATCCGTGCAATTACAGATTAAAAACTAAAGGTAAGTAAATCATGAAAAATAGGAGTCAGTTCATATTTTACAGCTCATATCCTAATCTGGCTGTGATTCAAAGATTTTTTTTGTTTTCAATTGTTCTCAAAATGAAGCTGGAATGTTCCTTTTCCTTCTGGAGACATTGCTGTCAAAATTCAGAGGTATAGGTGAATACTTAAACTCAAAAGAGGACAAAAGAGGAGAGAAGCTTTTCCTCATTCCTGCTAGTACACACACAAAGCTTAGTTGGTGACAACAATTTCCTCAAACCATCATTACAAGCTCAAAATACTGCATATTCCAAAAGGTGGTTTTGGGTTAGCTCACATTGGCAATCATTTTAGTGATTCTTTTATGGCCCTAGATGGGGTTAGCTCACATTGGCAATCATTTTAGTGATTCTTTTACGGCTCTAGATGATTAGCTTTTCGTGTCATACTTCCAACTTTCATTTTTCACAAGCCTAAAAAGAATCTGTTTTCACCTCTCCAGGGAATTAGTGTCTTTGGTAGTCCTCACGAGTTTACATGATGACGTAAATGGGCAGCCATTTTATGTGAGTCAGTGTTCCATTGTTTCAGTAAAATGTTCCTTTTCAAACGAAAAAAAGTGCAAAATACGAATCCAGCCAAAGATATATAGAATTTATATTCTTTATAACATACCTTCATAGCAATATACAAGGTTTTGGCATAAATATTTCAACCAGAAATGAATCTACTTTGTCATGGAATTTGACATCTGCAAAGCTCTTTTGTATTACTTAGAGGATGCATTAGAGCAAATCACCAAAACTTTGAAAGCAACCCCCTTCCCTTCTTGTGACCTCCTCAAGTAAGACAAGAACAAAAACATATCTGTTTCATTTGAAAATGCAAGCTATGTCACGTTTATCATGTGCCAAATGGATGATCCATCTTGCCTCCTGATAACGTTCCCCAGCCTTGCAGATGTCCATTTTCACTCAATTCTATTCAGTCAACATTACATCAAAAAAAACAACTGAAAGCACTGGATACTGCAAATGCGATCTGACAACATCCCAGTGATTGAACTGAAGACATGTTCCAGAATTAGTTGCATCCCTCAACAAGTACAGCTACAACACTGGCACCTTACCAAAAATTAGGTGTGGGCTACAAATGCTGGAGCTGTCAGTGATGAACACATCCCATGAAAGAATATTTATAAATCTTGCTGGTGCCAACTTACTTGCTGTCTAAAAAACAGATACATTGATGAAGGGTGTATAAAAATTAAATTCTTCCACATGATATTCTCTTACAGTTATTTATACAAAATAAAGTTTGTAAGAAGACTCTCATATTTTCTGTCAGATCATTGAAAGATCCAAGCAAAATTGGTGGTGCCAAACAAAAATCTTACAACGTATGCAGTATTTCTCAAATATTGCTCATGTATTTTAGTAACCTAATGACTGGATAGCAATTGAGATCTCCTGTTTGCTGCATTACAGTCATGCTCACACTGTATGCACAAGAACATCTTTACTTTGCCCTTTCTGGTTTTACTTTGGAAGGCAGAAGTCACCTGTGCTTTAACTGATGCCTCGACTAAACACATCCTCAGTATTATCAACCTTCCACCACATTTCGGATTTTCTGTGTCACAGACTGCTTCAAGCTCTTGCAATAATGTTCACAATAGTTAAACCCTAAACAATTGCAGCTGGCCATGTTCAACTGAGGTGATTAAAGAGGGCACTGGCTATTTATCTGGATAAAAATTGTGTGCAGAGATATGGGGGAAAAGATAGAAAATTTGTACAATGTAATAGAACCAGTGCAAGCACAATGGGCAAATGGCCTCCTTCTGTGGCCTAACAATTCTGTGATTCATACAAGATGATTGATTAATGTAGGGTGCTCATTTCTGTCACCTCCAACTTAATTTGCAAACACATATCGTGAACTTGTATCAATGAATCAATGTTTCACAGTTAGTCCCAATTATACCTGAATAAGGCTGCACACGAGCTTGAACGTTTCAAACCAAGAATATTCATTGCACATGTAGAACCAAAAGATGAAGAATAACAGAGATACTCCATGGTCCTACATGTACAAGTTATGCAAGGTCTGCAGGCTGTTCTTCTCAAGAAACTAGTTGTGTTATAATTCCCAAATGATGAATTTCATATTTCCCAATTTATCCTTTACCATTAGGACAAGTAAGATGTGATTCCCTTCTGAAAAGGAGGAAGTCTTTCTGAAATTCAATTTTAGGAGGGCACAGCAAGTTGATAATTCCACATTTTTCCAGTCTCCATTCAGCAGTGGGTGAAATCCATTCTCAATGTGAGTAATGACCACTATTTCAATTCATCAATTTCAGCTTTTTTGCTTGTGGACTGAAATGGGAAAGGAACTGTTTTAATGACCAAGAACTGTTGAAGGATTACTTGTTTTCAAAAAGTGCAATATGACATCCATTGTAAGTATTATTTGCACAGCTGCTTATTCAAGTAATGGAAGCTGTAGTGATTATAACAAGGTCAGACAGGTGGAACTCATGAAATATGAATCCTGATTGGAACTGTTAATCTGGTCTAATCAAGGAGCCCTGGCTGACAGGTAAGAACAAAAGTGTCAAAGATTTTGTTGAATCTGAGAGCTGCCTCTGAGGGAGCTGGATCAGTGTCAAAGACTCTCCACATGCAAATAAAGGATGTTTCGGTGATAGTAGGAACTGCAGATGCTGGAGAATCAGAGATAACAAGGTGTGGAGCTGGATGAACACAGCAGGCCAAGCAGCAGGAAAGCTGACGTTTCAGGCCTAGACCCTTCTTCATTTCTGAAAGCTGACGTTTCAGGCCTAGACCCTTCTTCAGAAACGTCAGCTTTCCTGCTCCTCTGATGCTGCTTGGCCTGCTGTGTTCATCCAGCTCTTCACCTTGTTATCAAGGATGTTTTGGTGACAGGATACTGGCACTTGTAGAGGTAATTCAGTGGCGACGAGAGAAAAGCACACTCCTGAAGAAATTCACTCGCAACAATCATCTTTCAGTTGGGGTAAGCATTTCTGGCATCCTACCTCTGTTTGGGAAGCTTGACTTGATCGTGCCAAAGACTGGGCCCAGTATGTGGAACGAATGCATTTTTTTTTCCAGGCAAATGATATTGGGGCAGATGAAAAGCTACGAGTAATTCTCCAAATAGCTTGTGGGCCTGCAACTTTTTCGGCTATTAGGAGCCTAACTTTCCCTTATGCACCAGATACCGTAACCATTGATGGATTTAGTTAAGGAGCCCAACCCTCCTCCAATTCTCAGATGCTACCTTTTTCACTCGACAATTCGAGAACCAGGAGAATCCATATCAGAATTTTTGACTAAGTTAAGATGACTGGCAGAGGCATGTGACTTTGGTTTAACCCTTAATGAGATGCTTAGAAACTATTTGGTACATGGGATTAAAACATTATCATGCAAA